AAACATATAAATTGCCTTTTTTATTTAAATACCATTTTCTTTTCATTATAAGTATTTACATAGCCGTGATGATGAGACCTTACTTTATTTTATTTTATATGAAATAAATCTTTTAGGACTAGACAAATTTGTGGCTAAAATACAAAATCTGATAAGTAATAAATAAATAATAATAATAAATAATACATTTCAAATATGAAAATAAACATATAAAACAAATATCTATTTTATTTATTATATGTAATAAACTATAATTAAAGTAAATAATAAATTTAATATAAAATAATTACAATAATAATACATAATAGAGTTAATATATAAAATTAAAAATATAAAATAAATATATATTATACCAACACGATAGAAGTGCTTAATCTTAAGATAGGTCTTAATTTAGATTAGTATTAATTTATTGAAATCTCTAAAAAATATATAAATAAATCTATATTACAGATATAATATATTATAGACTTATTATCTTCAGCTCCCTCTATATCCCTCTATATGTATTATATTTAGCTCTTTGCCACCCCTTGTGCCCAATTTAACTATTCCAGGGCATTCAAGGAAAACTCACTAAAAAAGGCAACATTGTTAGCACTTGAATCTAGTTGAATTTTTATTTTATTTTTATTTTTTTATTTTATTTTATTTTTTTGTGGACTAGCTGTGTGTGCACCCACAAGAAACTGTCGGCAATTTACATAACAAGACCCGTTCCCAAGGCGAGAGGCGCACACAATCAGTGGCGCTACAATCGAAGCCAAAAACCCGAAGCCTGTCAACGCGTAATCCATCAAGCAACGGCGTCCAGCATAACATAAGAAAATCATGTGAGGCAACAACTACAGCAACAATAACAACAACAACAACTATAACAACTGCCAGCAACTTGCAACGAATCCGGACATATGTTCGTACGTTGAGCGCTAGAAACAAACACTGAGAACTTGCCAAGTTGGCAACTGGTTGGCAGACCCCCTTGGGCGATCGGAATCAATTTGGCGCTTTAGCACACGAGCGTGCTTCAAACATGCCACGCCCACCATCGCCCAGACAGCCCACAGGAATTGGTAGCAGCAGCAGTTGCCGCTCAGCTAGCACCTAACTCTAATTGGGCATAATTTAAATTCCGCTCGTGAGCGCCATGAATTGTATTTAATGTTTTTGGCGCTTCCAAAGTTGGATTCGAGCCGAGTATCGATACCAAATACAAAACTTCGGTCTCGGCGGTACATTTCATTTGATTTTATTTGAGTTTTTAGTTTGTTATTTTTTGTTTAAGCCACAGATTGCAGTCAACCACAAACACAAATACACACACAAACACACACAGACTTGAAAATGTTTCCTTATTTGTATGAGCTCGACTCGGAATCGGAGTCGCAGTCGGCGTCGGTTTTGGCCGGCGACCCCTCACACAGTTCCTTGGCTTAATTGGTTTTGCGCCTAGAGAAGCGTACGATGCCTTAGTTTTGATTAGAAGGCGGCTATTAGAAAATTGAATACACGAGCAGCGCCTTTTCAGATGCTGTGTGAAAGTCACAGACGAAGCTTAGCCGAACAGATTTTTATCTGGTCATGAAAAACGGCATCTAGCTAAATGCGAGAAGCAGACGACGAAGAAGGCCAACAAAAAAACGTGCTGTTTTGCAGTGGGTCATAAAGTGGGCGGATATACTTGAGGGTCTTGAACTAACAAGTGCTTAAGATTCTTGAATACAACTGCTGTTACCTCATGAAATGGCATTCCAAAAGTTATTTCGTTCTATTAGCTGCCTTTCATATGCCCACAAACTATTTACTTTCATCTTCAGGCTCTATGATTGCTTACAAGTGCCAGCAGGAAGTTGTCATACTTCATCAAGTGGCCATAGAGTCCTAGCAGCGAACCGTACCGTGCCGTACCGAACCGAACCAGAAACCAAAACTTGTTGGCATTCCAAGGCCAAACGTGTCGCAGCGTCCAAACAATTTGTAAGCCATCATTTCAATTAAGACGCATAAATCACAAGGAAATCAGCAGCAGCAATGCTGACGACGATGATGATGATGATTGAGGTGATCATCATGATGCTGCTGATCATGGTGCGCGTACACATCGTTATCCTCAAGTACTTAAACAGAGCACTTAAACAGGCATTGAGCAGGCGCACAGCCTACGCAAGGCAAAGTTGAACCTTTCAATACCCTGTAGATACAGGTGAGATGTTAAGAAAGGGGTATATTAGCTATGAGCATGTATAGGCGTAACAGAGGGAATGAGTTGTTCAGTGATGCTTGATTAAAATGAGGTGAATTAAGATGGATATATGTGAGCCGCTGTGATCTTAATCTTAAATCATAAATGTAGAGACTAAATAACCCAATATCGGTAGCTAATTTAATAACAATATATACATATATATGTATGTAGTATTCATAGCGCGACCGTTAATAATCTACTATAAATTTTCTCTTTTTAAAGTTTTCTTCATGTTTTAAGTATCTAAAGCATATATATTTTTGCTGAAGAGATTTGAGATGGTACATAAACATAATTAAAATTTTGTGCTGCTATTTTTATGAACGGCTGTCAGCAGCTGACATCTTCTATAGATGAGAGACGAGATACTTATATCTAAACATTTTAAACTTTTTTCGCAGACCATCAGAGGAATTGTAAAAAATTATATAGATCTCTCTTAAAGTATAACCAGACGTTAGATTATATCAACTCGCTGCACTACTTAGGGCATCTCATAGTCAGTCACTTCCATCTCGAGCACTCGTACTTGTTGGCACAACTCGTTGCCGCACTTTGCTTCATTTGGTAAACGAACCAATTTAAACGGAGCAGACAAAGGGCGGCCGATTTAATCCTTGTCGGCAGAATTCGAAACCGTCCCAAGCCTGTCAAGGGCATGAAGGGGGTGCTGCAATTGCTGCAGCAGCAGCAGCAACATCGGCAGCAGCAGCTCGTGAAACTGCTGTTTCACGCTTCGACAAATGCCCTTTGTGCTCGGCTGCAACAAATTGCATCAGATACAAGGTAGGTACGCGCAGATACTTTTTGGCGTGGTGAACTTATTAGGCGCTGCCTTTTGAGCTGGAGATATTTATGCGAGTGCCACGAATTGAGTTGCAAATAGCCAGCGGGCAACATGAAACGTGCGCCAAGGATACCATACGATATGGCGAATGCGTTTCAACTTAAGATATACGTTTGGTACGCCTGCCGTGGCGTTAAGTGCCGCCATTCGTTGTGGCTGCATCATCACCTGCTGCGTCGCGGAACGAGGACAAAAAATAAACACACGCACACACACACACACACACACAAACAAACGCACCGCAAGGATAATCAGGAATGCCCATTGCGACAGCTCTGCTGACGCTCCGTTCCGTCCTTCCATTGCGTCCGTTTGCCTCTAACTGGCAACTGTCAAAACGAACTTAAGGCCAAACAATAAAGTGTAAAATGCGAGACAACAAAAAGGAGCTAAGGGCGCAAGCAAGCAAGTGAGCTAGCTATCAAGGTGCCTGCGAGCGGGCGGGCAAAACAAATGTTTTTGTTTAGCGCACCGGAAAATCCCATTGAACCCAATACGCACAGCCATATATACTTGAAGTACCTGTAAAGTCACGGGCTAAAGAATAACACTGAAAAATTCAACAGGTAAACACTAGCGGACAGACTAAAGCCGGCATTGAAAAGAAGAGAGGGAGAAGGAGAAAGACGCAGAATGAGCGATTCGTTAGCAGGAAAATAGTCAAACAAAGAGCGTTAAACACCGAAAATAGGAGTGAGCTTAGTTTTCTCCCTTTGGAATCTAAGCTTGAAAAGTAAGAAATTAAAACTATTTCAATATTATAGATATTGGGAAATGTTTATAATTACCTAACTATTATTTATGCATATGTATAAAATAAATATTTAATATGTATAAAATTAATATTAAGATAATCGATATTAAAAAATATAGCGGCCAATTTTATCAATACTATTTTATTTATACACATAAAAGATGTATATAAATAAATGAAATTTGAATTTTAAATGAATTTGAGTTCTTTTTTTTATAATATTTAAATTTTAAATAAAATGAAAAAAATTTTTAATATATATTTTTCGTAGTGTGAATTTTGAATATCTTGAATGTATGCATTTTATTTACTCTGAATATCTCCTTATTTAAAATTATATTATATTATAATTATAAGAATAGATCAAAAGAAGAACAATTTTGCTGATTATTATTTTGCCTTTATTATCATTAATATTAAAATAAAGTCTGTCAGGCGTTTTACGTTTTACTAAATGCAATTTTGAATATATTCGAATCCTTAACAGTACTTCAACGATATGTTCAATGCTTCTAGAATGTCTGCTATTGCAGCAATGCTGTGCTATAGCCCAAGGCAAGACCATGTCTAATACGTTCCACAAACATAACGAATACAATCCCAGTGCCACATGCAATGAGTGCAGACAAGATAGCCTTTTCTAGCTAAATTTACAAAAATCATAATAATATTATATATTAAATATTATTAAATAAATAAAAGGTATCAGTTGTTTATTTGCATAGGTATCTGAATTCTTAGAAAACAAACAAAATCAGAGAATTATACTTATACTTATTATAAATTATTAACAACATTTAAGTTCAAGTATAAAAAATATATAAAAAAATATAACATAACTTTATATATTACTATATATATTATAATTTGCAAATTAATTGCATCTACTAAAAATACTGCAAGAAAAATCGAAAATAAATTTAAAATGCTAAATGATTTATGAAAATCCTAAGAACTTTTAGAAACAATTTTAAACATCTTGAATCTTTTCTATATTTCTAGCACTCTGCACTCTTTCCTGAATACGTTCCACAGGAGCATACATATATTTCCGGTCTCTTTGCTTATTTTCTTGTCCAGCCAAATGAGCATCACTGAGTGCAACGATCAGGCGGCACGATCGCCAAGCCGGCACGATCGTTCGCTTCAGTTTGGTTTTGACGGTCGTTTGTGTAGGACGCGGCAATCGCTTCACGCAGGCAAAGCAAAGAGTTCAGTTTTTTGTTCAGAGATCGTAATTTGTCGGCACGTCTCGATCGCATTCGGAGTTCTTTCTCATCTGCAACTACTACTAGTTAGTATTTTACGCTGATAATCGAGTGTGTCATGCGAATAATGTCAATGATAATGCAGTGCAATAATAAATAAAAGCGAAAGTGCTTTATGCAACTGCAATCACAAGTCGTGCCTACATATGTATATTGATATAAATTGTGTGTCTTATTTGTTTTGTTGCACTTGCGCTGAGGATATACGAAAATAGCCAAAGAAAAATTTGTCGCTGTCGCCTGGCTGCAACCGAAATAAAATTAAATAGCGCAAAAATGTGCGTCAAATAAATGAGAAATGAAGAGAAATAGAGAAGTGCGAGTCTTATAGAGTGTGCAAAAGGAAATGTGTACAAAAAATAATACAAATAAAAGTCTGCCAGAAAAAGAAAGCCAAAACGTCGCGACGACAACTGACAAGCGGAAATTCTAAAAAAAAAAAGTTAAAAAAAAAAAAAAATTGTAAAAAAGCAACGCAAAAGAAAAGAAAGAAAAATCAAATAAAATTATGAATGAAAATTCTGGGAAATGTGCTTGAGTGTGCAACTTGGTGTTAAGCTAAATTAATAGAAATAAAAAAGGGTCTTAGAAAAGCAATAAAATATTTTTAATTAGTTTCAAAGTCAAGTGAAGTGTAAAATGTGCGCAAATTGAATTCAAGTCTGTGCTTGGCAAAATTCCCCTGTGAAAAATGAAAGTGAAAATAAAAGAGCGCAAGCTAAGCAGTTGCGCAAAATGCTGCCTTATCCTGCCAACAACAACAATGCTGTTCCTAATCCTGCTCCCCTGCCTGTTAACTGTTCAGGTTGAGGGCCGGCGTGCCAAACAATTGAAGCAACGACTCGTTGTACTGCCACCGGCCCAAATGCTCAAGGAATACAGCACAGAGACACTCAATGCCAGCTCCGTGGAGCAGCTGGAGGCGAGCATTGTGTCCTGGACGGGCGAGCGGATAAGCCAACGCAAATCCAGCTCCACCAGCCGCGGTGGTCAGAGCACGCGTCGTCGTAAAACCAAAAGTGGCCTCCTGATTGAAAGTAACATTGGGAGCAGCGAATCAGACATGGCAGCTGCTTCCTCAGAGATCAGAAATGGCAAGAAGTCCAAGCAGCGCGGACGGAACGGACGGCTCCAGAGAACGGACGGCAAATCGAATGCCAATGGTAAGTTGTGGCAGCCACAAGCGAGTGCCTAATGCATAAGACCTGGACCACAAAGCATTCTAAATATGGCTTTGATCGATTGGTTAGAAGATGGTAGAGTCGCCTCGTTATTGCGGCTTCCTTGTTCTGGCCCTGGCCCTGGCTTTGGCTCTGGCTCTGGCTCTGGCTCTGGCTTTGACTCTGTTGGCCATGTCGTGTCCAACGTGTCCAACGCGCATCCATATTTGGGCGCTCAAGTTGAAAGAACTTTCATGTGAAAGTTGTGACAGGAGGAAGAGATTTCTGCTTCTTCTTCTTCTCATTTTTTTCTTCTACTTATTTTCTTATACACTATATATATATATATATATATTTTTACAAGTAATTCTATACGTTATTACGTGAGAGGTCCAGTTATGGGCGAGCAATGTTGTCGTTGCCTTTGCCGTTGTCTTGCCTCTTGCTGTTGTTGTTGTTGTAGGTATTGTTGTTGCTGCCCCATGCTGCATGCCCCATGCACAGCATTTGTTCTTCTTGTGCTGCTGCTTTGTCATGTGAACTTTGCCTATTAGGCGTACGATCTGCATAGCTACACAGCTGCCAGGCAAACTAGAAAGCTATAAAACTAAAGGCACGCTCTTCTATAAAATTTCATTTTATATGCAGAAAATAGATTGCAATAAAAATCATTCGATTATAGCTTTGTTTGTAGCTAAAAATATATATTTTATTTAGTTTTTATTATCGATAATAGTCTAGTTTGTAAGAGTCTATATATAGATAATTTAAAGCGCATTTCATTATTAAAATTGCATTTTTTCATATTCAACTGAGATGAGATTTGAAAATTTTGAAAATTATATATTCTACATAAATTGCATAAAATTTAGAAAGAATTTGTGAAGCATTTAAACTTGATCATTTTCATTTTTTTTTTTTTTTTTTTTGATTACTTTTATTTATTTTATGGAATATGGAATTGAGTAAAATTAATTTAGTTTTATTTGTAGAATGAATTGATTACAATTTTTCTATTTGTATGAAGGAATATGGAATTAATAAGTATGTACATTTAATGTATTTTAAGCTGAATTATAGTAAAAACCCATTTTTTTGAAAATTAATTTGCAAATAATTATTTTAACTATTAATCGATTAAGACAACAAAGAATCTTTTCCTTTATAATTATATAATATTTATTTATAATTTAATTCTTCATTATCACTTATAAAACACGCACAAAAGAACCGTTAGGCAAAGCAAAAGAAAGCAATATAATAGAATAGCAATTTAAAACATTTACAAAAACCCACAAAACAAACATAAAATTGAAGAACAATACCAATCAAAATGTAAAATGGATAAACCCAAAGAAAAAAGGCATATGCGCTATAGAAGGTACAGCTCTCGGGAGAGTAATAGAACATAGAAGGGCTGTGTGTGTTTGTGTGCACTTCAGGTCATTTTGCTTGAGATCAACTAAGAGGCACATTGACACACACACAGACACATGTGACCCCTTGGCGAGAGGACAATAGCGCCAGGCTCTAGTATGATGCCGCCTACTCTTCTACACTCGGGTAATTGTGGTCGTGCCCAAAGAAGATGCCCTAACAACGACAGCAACAACAACAATGTAGACAATGGCCAATTGTTAGAGACACATAACGCACTGGAGTACACATATAATGGATAAACTAGTTGCGTGCGTTGTCATATGGCATACATACAAATACATACATACGTATACACACATACGCATATATTGTATGTCAGGGACAGGAACCGCAACACGCGCTAATAGGAACACATGTTCCAGCTGGCGGCTCGGATAGGTGTTGACCAGAGCAGTCGACGTAGGTCCCAATACAATGTGTGTTCTGGCCGAACTGGTTATAAAAATTAAGTGGCTTATCGTGTCGAGTCGTTGAAATTTGTTATGGGCCCAAAACTGACGACGACCAAGCTGAAGAAGAGGAAGAAGAAGCCAAAGCCGATGCCGATGCCGAAGAAGATGCATTCCTGTGGTTCGCTCACTTCCCTGGAGCCAGCTTACGACTTACTAATAGATTGTTAAGAAGTTTTATAATAATCATTTGTTTATGTTGACGTTTGTTAACAGAATTCTAAGCGCTTCGAAAACACAGCTGACCCAGTCAGATAAAAGCGAGAGAATTATATATTAATGAATTTCATGATTTTTGATGAAAAGTATTCCCAAAGCTTTTCAATGTTATGATTATTTATTCAAGCGCGCACACTGAGCGAAACTTGGGCTCTTAAAATTTGACGAGCTTCTATTTTGGGATCTATAAAATTTGAACAGATCATTTTGATTTGTTTTAAATTTGAATATGTATGGTTAGGTGCTTGGATGAAGGTGAATTTATTGAAATAATAATTTTAATATTGTGAAAGCAAATTTAGCTGAAGGTAAACAACTTTCTTGGAAAGATATTGTTAAAAAACAAGTTCAGTTTAGAAAAATATTTTTGAAAAATGCAAGAGCCAAAATAAGTTGATGACTTTTTATAAAGGAAGATTATAATCAAAATTTATTTTAATATATTTCTTCTAAATAATGAAAATACATTAAATAATTTTACGTAGAAACTGCAGCCGTAAAATATTACAAAAAAAAAAGTTTAGTCCACAAATCGAAAAATAAACTTGTTAAGAAATTTTCTTTTTAATATTGAAACTGATAAAATTCATGAAAACCAAAATTGTTAAGCCAAACTTCTTGTCAACAAGCAACAAATCTATCAAAGCAATAACAAACCCGACAGTCTCACCTCTCCCTACCACAAGATTATGCACAATCTAGACTTGCAACATTTCATCGGAAAAGCCCTTGGCAAAAGCATTTTTTCAGCAACAACAACAAAATTTATAACTTTAAAAAATAGATTGAAAAAGCAAGTTCAAAAACTTTTGCTTTTCAACACGCTGCTTGAGCCAAGACGAAGTTGAAGCGTAAAAGGCAATAGAAAACCAACAGAAAAAGTTCACTAAACTTCTACAAAAAAAAAACTTCACATGTCAATAAAAAATTAAAAACAAATAAAAGTCAATGACAGCTCGAGCAGAGGCAAAGGCAAAGGCTATCCGAAGAGAAGGTGGAGGAGATAGAGGAGTTATTTCCGAGCTCTCTGTAGCATTTTCCCACAAATCTAAATTTCTAGCACTCGGCGCATTGTGTAATGCAGTTAACAAGAAGCAAACAAAAAAACAGAAGAAGAAGAAAACAAAAATACAATATCAATGAAGAATTGAAAAGTGGATGCATTGAAGAATGCATTCTTCAAACAGTTGTCTTTTTCTTTCTTTTATACTACTGAATGGGCAAACAGCAGCTTTCCCGGCTTGCCGTGTGTAAATATCATGACTTGGGGAATCGTATATATATCTATCTATATACTTATATCTACGCATATCCACACATACATATGTATATGTACGTGCCCAGCTAATGAGCTGATAAAGTGTGAGTGCGTGCGCTGATTAGCCATGGCTCAAAGCACAGCAACAACAACGACAACAACAAAGGAAATGCAGCTTGGCGTGGGCTCAAATGTATCTGTATCTGGATTTGTAAATGTATCTGTATCTTGGCTACTATGCATCTCCCTGGCTGCCTCTTGTTGACCCATTTCGTGGCGAACTTTCATTTTCAGTAATCTAAACAGCCATCAATCAATTAATGCCAATAGCTGTTGCATTTATCTGACTCCTCTCGCGCAGCGTTTCGCCTTTATAAATGGAGTCAACACGCCGTTTAATCGTCAATAATTTGCTCTATCAATTCGCTGTCTCTGACTGCTCAAGGCGCTGCCCACTTGACTACGCGGCACGATAACTGCTTGGCAACTTGTTTTTTTTTTTTTTCCTATTTACAATTTGCAATTGAATGATTTGGAAAACTAATCTAAACGCATTCGATTTTCATTCATTATCGACAGCTGTTCATAAAGTTCCAGACATTATTTTTGATGACTTGATCGAAAGTTGATTTAGCTTCAATTGAGTGTTAACTGCTTTCTGCTTTTTTTTTTTTAGCGAATATTTTGAAAGTGTGATATAAATATTTATTTATGAAAAATATTTAACACCAGGAATTAATATTGCTTTATTTCACTATTATTTTCATATTCCTTGTCTTTGATCATTGTCAGTATTATTATTACCATCGACATAATTGTCCTCATCATTATTATTTTGCATGTTGTCTTCTCACTTATCATTAGTCGTCCTTCATGCCATTATCGTTGTTCATTGCCTCACAATAATCTTTAATACTTGAATCATTATTATTCTCACTATTCACATCATCTTTAAACAAATTTTCTGGGATTCCCACATTATCATTATCATTGTCTTTCTTATTATGATTAACATTATTGGGATCACTGGTAATATAATTTTCAATATAATTAGCAGTTCTGTTACTATTGTTATTATTAAGTTCATATAAATATTTCTTATATATTTATATCAACTTTATATGCTTTCTTATTCAGTCAATTAAAACTGAATACATAAACCCATTTACATCAGCTTTTGTCAAAAAACAGATCAATCGAAGAGTATTACAAATTCCTCATTTATTTTTACAGTTTCCCATTCAAAAGTTTTTCTTTCAGCACATGAAAAGTGTTTCGCCACATGCTTGATTATTTTGAGTGCCCTTCACGAATCTCTCACAGCTCCCAACTGTTTGCACTTCTGTTGCATCTCGACTGCAGCGCCCTTTGTTGTGATAATTTATCGAAATGCAGTTTATAGATCATTGGTTTTAATGTGCCAAGGGAAACACCTGGACACAACACCTGGCCTCACCTTGTTGTTGTTTATGCAACACATTTTGCACACAATTACTGGAGAAGAGTAACTGGAAATGGCAGCTGCTTACAAAGAAATTAAATATTTGTAAAAATTATGTAGAGCAGGAAAGATAAATAAGAAAAAGTAGATAAATATACTATCTGAATACAATTTTAAAAAAGTTCCTGAAACAACC